TAGAAGAGGAACCTCAATTTTTAACAAATATTCTTTGGACTGATGAGGCGAAATTCCACAATAATGGACATGTAAATCACCACAACAATCACTATTGGAATCATTCAAATCCCCACTGGATAAATGAGACCAATAAGCAAGTTCATTGGGGTGTGAATGTTTGGTGTGGGATTATTGATGAGTATTTAATTGGTTCATATTTTTTTGAGGAAAATCCTAATGGCAATAAGTATCTTGTTTTTTTGAAAGATGATATACCCATACTATTGGAAAATATTTCACTTCAACAGCGCTTGAATTTGATTTGRCAGCAAGATGGTGCACCAGCACATAATACCTTGGCTGTACGTGCATACCTCAATAAGATGTATGGAGACAATAACTGGTTTGGAACTCACAGCCCCATTATTCAATGGCCACCTCGTTCCCCCVATTTGAGTGTTCTTGACTTCTTTTTTTGGGGCCATCTAAAAAATGAAGTGTATAAAGAAAAATGCAACAGTGTGGAGGAACATAAACAAAGAATAAGAGATTGTTGCAACAAAATTGAAAACTCAATATTGAAAAAATCTACTTCCTCTGAAGTAATTAAACGTCTACATTTTTGTTTAGCTGAAGATGGCAAGCAATTTGAACATAAGCTAAAATATAAATAACATGTATTTTTTATTCAAATTGTATACAAATACATACATGTATGTTTATGTATTATTTATGTATGTATGTTACATTTTTTCCATTCTTAACCAAAGTTTGTTAAAATTTATATTTAATATGAATTCTTATACTTACGAATGAATGAATTTCTGGTAGGCACATATACATCAAGTTAATAAATTGGTCTTGGAATTTTATTGAAAATAACAAAATAAGTAAGTTGGTAAATTAAACATATTGAAATATTTAACTATAGCTCCAGTTAACTAGATCAGCTAGTTCGTTAAAACTACAAAGGCACAGRATATTATTYATTATGATAATATTATTGTGAAAATGTGAAATTTATTAAGTTTACTACTGTAGACTGTAGTACACAAGTAATTAGTAGTATCGGTCGTTGACGCCATGGCACCATGCTATAAATTAACGAGTAAGGGCCAGTTGTACCGTCTACGGTTAAACTTCGATTACGCTTAATCAGCTGMTAACAGATATTTAACCRTGCAAATTCGGCCGATTAAACTCCGGTTAACTTTAATCAGAGACGGTACAACTGGCCCTAACAGACAACGGAAAATAAATTACTGTACACTACAGCAGTGATTTAAAACAGTTAACAGTTGTTGCAACTGTAGTACAGACTGTCTACTAGAGTAACAAAAACGGGATTTTAATTGTGACATAAATAAACAGTAAGTTACTATTTATTTTGTAAATACACATATTGGTAACACTGTATTTTCTTTATGATAG